AAGCTTCTGTCATCTCGACATGATAACATAGTCTACGACGTGTACACATCGTTATATGGAAATTGATCACCAAGTTGTATGGGCTCTCGAAAAATCAATTGGTATCACAATAATTGCAATTAATTTAGCGTAATTATTGCTTGCAGCGATTAGGTTGGCAGAAAGCAATTATTTGATACGGGGCAACGCACATTCTATTTATTTACGGATATGACCGGTAACATGCTTGGGGACCAGTCGTTGAAATGAATGGCTAGCGAGTTTTAAAAGGCTTAGAAGCCTTGTCGGGACTGCCCTCACTGTCATTCTACATTTGCTATGTTCTCTAACTAGCAGATCGCTCAAATCTATATTCGTCCAGTCCTCGACAACCAGGAGGAGCCTATTCCTGCCTACTACCGCTGCCGCTGCTCGTTTGTGCGCCAACAGCGTCACGGACTGGTTGGAGCAACGCTGAGGTCATGTGTGCTGCAGTCGCTACCGGTACTCTCGCACCGTGGATTCGCCAGCACAGCCTGAACTTGTTCGGCTGAATGAGTTGGATCATCAAGAGCAATTTTTTGCCTCTTCATTTTTGCAAGGACGCAGAAACACGCAGGTAATTTTTGAGTTTCTAATCTGTTGATTTTAGCTATTTACTCTGACTTTTGGCTGCTGTAGATACACTAATCTAGAGCGCATCATCCAAGAGACGCTGTACCACGTGTTAGAGAGCGTGACGCGTCACGTAGAGGCGGCACTCAAGGTCGGCATGCCGGAGCGGCACGGCATGATAATCGACGGGTGGTCGTTTAGCTCGGAGCACTATCTGGCCGTGTCCTGCTGCTTTAAAATGGCAGGAACAGCACAATACCCGCTGCTGGCCATGGCACTACTGGTGAACTACCGGATGGATGACCACTCCGCAGCGACCCACCTGACGTTTCTACGTGAGATGCTGATGCGGGACTATAACAAGCGTGTAGAGGACTGCCTGTTTATTGTATGAGACAACTGCTACACTAACCAGCGCTTTGCTAATCTTTTGAGTGTGCCACTGGTCGGATGTGCAAGCCACCGCCTGTGTAATGGGCTCGCTGTGTGCCCACTACCTTGGCTTACACGTTAGCGCACGTGTACGTGGAAGCGTAGTTTGCTTAACTTATACTTACGTCCCGTAAGTATAGATTTATTTAAATAAGAAAGCAAAAGCCGATTTACCGTAAAATTGAGAACTGTTAT